TCTCAACAAGCGTCAGAATCAGAGCTTAAAACGGCTCCGAAAATAACTGTTTCAAATTGTTATATAAAGGTTCCGATTGAAAGAATTATGAGGGCCCTTATTCTGAATAACTGTTATGAAGAACCTAAATTCCAGATTATATCAGTTTCAGTTACGGTCCTTGTATCAGCTACCACATCACTTTTATAACCGTTATTTTTTAGGTTTTATATAAGTTCCAAAATGGTTATAGAACCGATTCTCATAACAACAAAATTGTACATATTACGCTCATAGATTACTTATATACATATAAGCATATTTTTTGCCAAATCAGTATGGTACAATTTTGTTGGGCAGTTAAAAATTTGTATTAACGAAGACTCTCATATTACAAAATCATTGTATATGTACAAATATGTACATATATACTTACTTACCCGTTCATAATAATTTTAAAAACTTTTTGCTTGTACGTAGTAATCTATAGCTGTAATATGTTCTCATTTACTTTACTCTAGAATTCTGTACAATCGTTACGAGAATCGATTCTATAACTGTTTTAGAACTTATATAGAACCTAAAAAATAACAATTATACTAGAATTAATATCGGAGCTGATATAGGAACCGTAACTGACACTGATATAGTCTGAAGTTTCGGTTTTTCGTAACAGTTATTTAGAATAAAAATTCTTTATAGCTTTTTCAAGAATCTAAATCGATGTCATAACAGTTTTGAAGCCCTGGTCAGAATGGATTCTATCCTGTTTCCTAACGATTCACGTGGCCATTCGTAATTCCCTGTGTGTCGTCCTGGAGCCTCAATCCACCACCCTTTTCAAAACGCGAGCAAATGTGAACGAAAACGTCACGGGGGCATGGACACGCGGGGGACGCGAAGAAGCGACTCGAAGCGATAAAAATGGACTTTCAAGGAAGATAGAGGACCGAGGACCATTCTTTTTTTTTTTTTTTGTTCTTCTTCGTCTTGCTTTCTGTCCACCCGTTTCGTTTACTCTTATTTCCTTCCTCCCCTTCTGGCGCGCGCGCGCGCGCGCAGAGTCCTTCGGGTTAGCGTCTCTTCCAGAGTTGAAATATACAAAATGAAATATGAAATAATGGTTCGTGCCTTGTGGCTGGCTAAAGGCACGGGCGCACCCATATCTACGCCCCCATGCGCCTATGTACCTATACGGGGCCCCCTCGGTTGTATGTACGCCGATCCCGTGTACATTATGTACCGCCACACCATATATACATCCGCCTCGCTCAACTTTTTCGTTCTTGTCGTGAACATCTTACGTTCGTATTAACCCTTATCCTTGCTTAATGATATTCTGGCCTGCCATACGACGGCGTATTGAACGCAACTAAGGCAGATTCTATCGACGTATGGCCAAGCCCTTCTGTAATTCGTATCTATTACACTCTCTTCCCTCCCCCTCACGCCTTTTTCACCATTTTTTCGCTTCCTCTCCGAGGAGCAATTTGGGGGACCAGTCTCGTCGGATGATTTAAAAGTAATTAGACAGTCAGTCGCCCCGTTTGAATCCCGACTTTCTCGTCGATCCTCCAGACAGAACGAAAATTTCACTGTAGCTTTGAGGAACCCCCACGCTAGAAGTGCATCTATCGATTACACAGGGGAACAGTCAATCTCATGCCAGTGATTCAAGAGTTGATTTTGTGCAATTTAGTGCTCCTGATTTTTTCACGATTGGCTCGAGTTATTGAGATTAAATATTTATGCAAAATAAGGGAAAAAATGGTATATAGTAATTTCTATGATTCTGAATTAATTTTATTTATAAAATGCTATAAGTACAGACAGCATCATTACATACAAAGTATTAGAAAGTTATGGAGAAAATACAAAGAAATACACAAGCACTTCCATAATATTCACCTCTGAAACAATTTCTAAAAAATTTATTTTCTAAATATTTGCCTCTGAATAGTGTTAACTCTTCCATTCTATTTCTTTAAGATACATAGAACGGTATTTAACTTTTTTTAAATACGTACCTTCTAGATTCTAAAGATACGTTTTCTATTCTACTCTTGGTTGGGCAAATATAGCGATTTCCTTCTTGCCCTCTCAGTCAAAATATTAAGGGTCATTCTACGACAAATCGATCATTTTATTTCCCTCGATGTCTGGGAGTTTATTAAAAATAGACTATGATGTAATCCACGTGGAATTAGGAGAGGGGGTGGGGTTAAGTCATCATTCTTTGAGTATCGAATTTCTTTACAAAATATAGGCCTTTCAATTTTACTATTTCTGCCCACTTTCGTAGAAATAGATTGTACTTATGAATTTATATCTCTCAAAGTATTTATCGTATTCGGTTAATTTTTTTTGTGTTACTCGATAAGGATCAGCCTTCCTGGATAAATTTTTCCAGGTCGAAAAATCATTTTTGCAATACTGAAAATTATAAACAAATTCTTATTTAGCAAATTTTGCCTCGAGGTCGCGATTTTAGAAATCCGAAAAAAATATTACTGTATTCGTTAAAGTGTTTTCCATAAATAAAGTCTATCGGTATGATGGTCTGGTTCATATTAAACACATTTGCAGCCAGCACTTTTGAGGCCAGACTCTTAGCTAAATACCGCGTACAATTTTCAAAAGTCTATAGCTGAATACCGCAGGGTTCTACTATTTAAAAGTATAACGGATTACAATTCATGTTTTTGAGACATTGAACCGCTTTAACTAGTTATTATACAAAGAAAATATCTAACCTATCACAAATTTAAAATCAAGATAATCATCATCTTGCTAAAGAGAAACGGGTGATGAATGCTACACATTTTGAAATGACATAGAACTACGTTACCAGTACGCAGTTAAAGATTTTACGGTCGACTACCACTCCAGATTATTTCAATGAGGTTTAAAGAATGATTTCGTTTAAGTCTTCTGTTAGGCATATGTGAGGTGGTTTGTCTAATGTCAGAATTTCAAAGAGCGTATAAATTATCTAGTGGAGTGATATGTGATCATATATAGTGAATTTGGGTAAATTATGTCAAGAGTGTCCTCTACCTATCACATGCGATATTATCAGGAGTTCTCAAATCAAATTGTATGGACGCAAGAAGAATCTATCAGGGCACATTTTTTAATCTTTGGCCTTGAACACTGAATAAACTCCAACGTGTGACACTCCACGATCATTTTACCAAGTCACTATATTTAATCCATCGGCAATACTTACAAAAGTTCCTCGCGATTCGAACGCCTACTGTAGCTTTGCAACATAAGCAGTATTAACCTTCGATGACGTTTATCCTTTGAAGTATTTATTTTCGCCATCACGCTTCTCAGACTTCGTTTTCTTCATTTTATCTTCTCAATCATCTCCTTTGAAGAGAGTAGCGTGTAACACACGTGGACACCCTATATGTAATAAATGAATAATAAATAATCGATCCGTGTTAAATGAATGGAACAACGAACTACTCGATTCATTCAAGATACAAAATATGTAGGTATGTTTGCGTGAGAGAAAATTAAAGATCTCATATTTCGGTTAAGATGAAAAGTAGATTTGCAATGTTATATTAAGCAGATATACCTATCATTGTTTATTTATATTCTCTTATTATTGTTTAATTGCTTTCATAGACTTTTCTGTATTTACATTATTAAGCAACCATACGTCCATACGTTCAACCGAGCATGAAGTTGTAGTTTCAGTAAATGAAATTACGATAATTTGTTACCTTGATTAAAGAAAGTAAGGCGCTATAAAAATCACCCTTAATTTCAATTTCATTAAAAACAAACATCTGATGAATAAGAATTTAAAAAATATAATATATGTGTTCTATATTCATGTTTTATTTTCATGCTACAATAAGTTTGTATGAAAGATCAGAGGAAATGCATGTAGCAAAACTTTAACACTAGGTTTACGGGCATTTATCGTGTAGGTATCTCCACGGCACGCGTCAACGAACCCGCAGATTTTCTTTAAAAAACAACTTATTTTATATAATACACAATTTATGATCTCTGAAATTAATGCATAGCTATAGAGATAGGTATACCACATAGAGAATTTCGAGGTTAGAAAGCATTCGAAATGCGTCAAAATGACGCGTCCCGTAAACCTAGTGTTAATCATCGTTATAAAAATGTTGTTTTGACTGCTTCCGTAGTTTTAGTGTTAATCAATCCATAAATTCTGCAGTCTAATAATATGCTACACCCGATTTATTTATCCGACTTTTCTTTCCATTTCACGCTGCCCATCTGAATCCAGGAACACCGGTAAGCGCTCCCGCGTATCGTTAACTGTTTCACCGGCTACTACAGTAAAACCTGCATTAGTACCAGCAAACGATCTACGGCGTAAGCATCCGGTGTCCATCCCCACCACTGATGGGGTACCCCCTGGAACCAGTCAAGCATACAATGTAACACGGCGTCCTCCCAAGCAGGAGCCCAAAAAAGATTGCATGCCCGCGTGTTGGCGAGACAGACAACACTAATGCAACGATGCAAATTTTGGATTTTTTCTTATATTTCAATAAAACTTTTCCTAACGTATTTGTGACATTTTTCTAATTAAAACAAGACCAAACACGATATAATTTAATTTATATTTACTTATTGATATTAATTAAGTATCATAAATAATCAATAAGTAAATATGATGCAAATTATACTGTTTTTGGTATCATTTTAACCAGAAAAATGTCACAAATACGTTAATAAAAGTTGAATTAGTGTTGTATTATCGACACGCAGGCATGTAAACTTTATCGTCGCCTGGACACTCTGTCCCTCTTTCTTTTTCACTTGTTGTCCTTTTCTACGTTCGGCGTTGATTCTATATTTAGAATCAATTCCCGTACTTAGTAACTACCTGGGCTTCAGTCTCAATCCTCGGGTACTAAACCAGATTTTACTGTATCTCGATACACGTAACGCTTCGCGTCTTGTCGTTCGTAAAATTGCGGCAAGCATGACCCTGCTAACGGACTGGCCGCGTGTATTTTCAGGGAAAAAATGGCGAGGTTTAACCCCGCAGGACAGAAGGCCGTACGTCGAGGAGGCGGAGAGGCTGAGGGTCATACACATGCAGGAACATCCGAACTACAAGTACAGGCCACGGCGTAGGAAACACGCGAAACGGGCCCCGGGGGCACCGTCCTCTCCACCGTCCGCGACCAACACCACGGGCAATAGGTCCAATCCCGCCGGTGCCACGATTCATCATTCCATGTAAGTCGATATCCTCTAGCGTTTCGGTCCGTATCGATTTTCCAAGATGGTCCGGCCACGACTGGGCGTATTAATCGCTGGTACACAAGATGTACGCTCGGATCCTGGCCCCCGACGCGATATCCATATTAATTTCATACGATGCAGATTTCGCGGGTGATGTTGTTGCGGAGATAGCTTGTAAATGCGGTATGATGGCTGCCGCTTAATTTGTCGAGGGGTCTTGCCACTGTGACGCTCTGAAAAATTGCCGGTTTTGGAAATTTCTTTTCAGTGAACGAAATGTTTAACGTAAAGGAAGTGTTGTCTATTTATTAATGCATTTATTGAAAGTATAAACAAATTTTTATTAAACTTTTAATAGTTTTTTTTTTTATTTATATGTCACGCTGAAATTAGCGCCTAGACAAAATTATGTAGTGCTGGCGCAAGTGATTCCGGGAGAACGAAACATCAGAATCAAAAAGTTTTAAGTGATTTTTGATCAGTACGGGTGTCGTTATCGTCGGAACCAAAATTATTTTCACCTCTAATGAATAAACAAAAAGGCGGAGGTTTACAGTTCGAATTTCGAAATTCGGCGAATTTTTGTAGTCATCTTGGATTGTAAAAAGTATGAACTTGTTGATCGAAAAAGGTTTCCGTGGTCTCCGCGATAGCCACTGATGTATCGAATAACATGCATAAATTTCAGACTGATTGGTCAAATAGTTTTCTTGCAATCACAAAAAAAAATATAAAGGGCAATATATAGGGTGGTCCGCGCAACTTGTTCACCCTGAATAACTTTTAAGGTATGCATTGTATGAAAAACTTTTTATAGAAAAGTTGTATAGTTTGGAGGAATACATTGTGTAATGCATATTTTTTTTTTTGTAAGTGGAGGCGAATGCTATATTTTTTATGCCAAAATATCGAAAAACGGTAAATTTTTAGTAAAAAAGTACTGACCTTTATTAGCCGTAAACGTAATAATTGACGAATAATTTTTCTTTGTTTCTTGAAAATGGTCTGTGCGTAATATCAAATTGGAGATTGAATACCAGCAAAGATTTCCGTAAGACCGCGGAATTGACGTAACAATGTCCATCAGCATAACCGATTCTGCGTATGAAATCGTAATCGCCTATTCTGTCCGTGATTCAGTATTGAAGTTATCATCAGTACTTATACGTGACTATCTCAGTAAGATAAAAGCAAAAATGAAATTTAGTAATTGTGAAGACATGTATATGCTTTTACTTTACGGTGGATGCCGTAGAAATGCAACAGGAGCTATAGCTATGTATACCGAAATTTATCCTGAAAGAAATCAACCATGTCTATTGATATTCGAGAGATTTTGTACATTCCTTCGAAAAAGCGGAAGTATTAACGTTACCAAACGTAATGTAACCATAACTACTACTTCTGAAGAAAATACTATTGCGGTCCTAGCAGCGGTAACAGAGAAACAGGAATACAGTTTTAAAGTGGTACTACAAATTTAAATATTTTTCAACAATGAATTTTGTTTATACAATCTTGAATGTATGCACACTTGAAAGCGATGAAATCTTTGGTATTCGAACAACAGGTTATCAGAGTGCAATGACGGGTATGGGTAACTGTTTACTGTCTCTGGAACCAGAAACAGTAATACAGGAACGCGAAATAGGAGTGATTCATTGATACGAATGAAACTTTTCGATTTTTCACTGTACCTTTGTTATAGTGCGGTTTTTTATAATGGAAATGATTTTAACTCTGTACCTTTTGCACAGAGTGTCTTTTCTATTAGAAGTGATTTGAGTAAGTTAAAGTCGTCTTTTGATTCGTTTTTATTGGAACGGCAAAGTAACGAGGATAGTCGTGTCAGACTTATGTACCTATATCCTATATAAGGCTGGCGGGAAATAATTACTCGTTTAAATATGTTCCGGTTACTGACGTCACTATTATAAGTGTCAAACACATAGAATTAGGGTAAGCGCACTTAGCTTAATACTTACCATGTATTAATACGAAATAACGAGCTGCATCCACTAATTCATTAGAAAATATAGGAATTCTATTAGAAATTAAGAAATTACACCTTTATATGTCCTGTTCGCATTCACCTACGAAAAATGACTTGCATCAAATTCTATTTGTCCCCTGGAACTATTCGACTTTTACCTGAAACATTTTTTAGTATCATCAACGATTTCGAAAATATGTTTGCAGGGGTCGATTTAAATGACTCACTTTGTATATACATGAAGTATCATATTCTCCTCAGATAGCACATGACGCCTCGAAGACAGCTTAAAGGCGCCTTAGACCTAAAATAGCCATAAAATGGGCGTCTGTCTTCAAGGCGTCATGTGCTAACTGGGTTTTCAACAATACAGTAAATCCTCGATGAGTATTCCACGGTTCGTCGACACTGAACATTAAATATTTCATAGACTAATGGCCATATGGCGACTGAAAAAAATATTATTGGCTTCAGAATGTAAAGCTCTATTATCGTGCTAAACTTCATTAAAAAGCCAGCGTTATACCTGAGGATCTCTCCTTGTCAGTGCCAAGAAACCATCGAACAGTCATCGAGGATTTACTGTAGTATACGCTAACGCTTATGGATAGGAGCGTACGCGTTTGAAAGCTTTTAGCTTTTAAATGATTCAATTAAGGTGGTGGTATGAATACATTATATGTGAAATTAATAATATTTTAGCAAAAATTGTCAAGTGTCACTTCATGTTTATTCAAGGTCCAAAATGGACAGTTACCAAGGCATTCCTCAGATCCCATGGGGCGGCCATTCACCGATCTCATCGTTGTATCACCAGCAACAGCAGCAGCAAGGCATTCAGGAGTACAAATCGGAGAATAATTCCTTGTACGGAAGCCCTTATACACCTATCATTCACACTCCGGACATATCTCCGGTTGCCAGTCCCGAACCCGATGGTGAGACCTTGCGTTGTGCAATTAATTAACACTCAAATGGATGTAGGATTTCACAGATTAAATCCTTATAATTCGATGAATCAACGATTCGAGAATTTCTTGTTTATTGTAATTGCAGAAGTTTCCTTAAGTAATTAGTTCTCTATGTTTATTAAGTTAAAGTTGTTTTTAACCCTTTAACGCCCAGACCCTTGACGCTAGAACTACCAAACCCGTCAAAATGACGGATTACAGATTTTTTATTTTAAGATTACTGAAATTATAATAGTGTTTTTGATGGAGTTTCTGTTGACTCTTGATTTTCTATATATTAAACATGATACTATATTGTACTAAATAGTGCTATATGTATATTATGTATATTACTATATTCTACAATTTAATTTAGTACATGCTAAACGCTGGTAGTTCTAGTCCTAAATCGTTATTTCAAAATTAGGAGACTGATATTTTTGAAGTCGAAAATATCGATATTAAACAGACCTATTTTTTCATTTTTTATTTATTTTTGGAGGAAATACATACTTGTATTTCTCAACTGAAAATGTGAAGATCTACTTCACATCAGTGAAACTACAGATCTTTGCTGGCAAAAGTTAGATATTAACCGGCAACAGAATTTCACGTACTTTTATAATGAATGTTGCACCGGTGCAACATTGGGCGTTAAAAGGTTTGAAGAATTAAAATATTACTTATAACATAATGGTCAAACACGTAGTTTCTAAGAGAAGTACCTCTGGAATCGACAGAATTGAATGTACATAAAAGAATGTAACGCTCCTTTTAAATTCTAGATGTCACGATGAAAGTGAATTTTGTTTCTTTTACTGTTATAATATATTGACGTAGTCACAATTGTAATTGGTTAAGTTACCTCTCTTAACCCTTTATAAGGTAAAGCTAGATTTATCTCAGGTGAATAACCTTTTTCTCGAGCAAATGTAAAACTCAAATTGACAGAAATAAAAAGTTAGTGACAATATGATTGCCACTGCCTTTATAAATGGTTAAAGCTGGATGAATCATCTGTAAGATACTCTATTACACAGATTATTTCTCAACAAATTCAAAGTTAAAAAGTCAGAACAGCGACCGAAATAATTTATAACACACAAGGAGTTTGAATAATCCAATTATTATATAACTTTTTAATTTTTATTAGGTGACGGACCGCATCTACCATCTAGCCAGAACCAGGATAATGAACGAGATCTCATGGAGGGTACATCAAAACAACACGGTGAAATGTCTGAACAAACGAAACGGTATACTTTTATGAACGCCGAGAATCAACTGCACGCAACTCATGCTGGTGGTACTGTAATATCGTCATGTCAAAATACTGGTGCTTACACGGATACTTTGACTTACAAAAAATCGGTAAGTAATTGCGTATTATTTCCAAGTCACTTGTTCGTTAAATATGAAGAATAATTTTCTGCTTTTAATAATTTTCGACCTAGAATCCTGTCTGTTGTTCTCCAAGTAATAGGGTGAGCATGATCTCGACCATCTATAATATAAGACTAATTGTAATACGAGCAATTTAGCAAATTACATTAGAATTAAGATTTCATTCTAATATATCTAGAGAAAGTAATCCATACAAGTTTTAAAGACACAACTAATTACACTGGTCAACAAAATGTAACTTTTTGTTTGTCTTCGAACATCCAGTTGCTGATTCTTGTAGATTCTTCTGTGCTGAATACGAATCCGTAAACAGTTTTTTGCCATCACCCTCAGTTTCCGAGAAATTTGTTTTTTTTTTTTAAAATGCAAATTTTCATCTTTGAACATTTCCTGTGTTCAAACATTAATAGTTTAATGTTATGTCACAGTATTCTGTAAACTCTGCCGAATAAAATAGTATACATTGTTATCGCATTATCAACATTTAAATATGTTTAAACAACGATCAAAGGGAAAAGGACACCCGAAATGCACCAATTTTTACAAATATTTTTCAATTTATTTCAAAAATTAAGGGTGCAGGACATAATCTGACTGCGTCAGCGGATACAGTAAACATTTTTCTTCCGGAAAGCATTAACAGAAATGGTAAGACACGTTTTGTGTTCAATACAGGAAGCGAAATAGTTTAGTAAAACCTGCGACGCTGGCAGTGGTAGTCAAAGGCGATCTTTGGTTTGTTTTACACGATTATTGTTCAGGCTGGGGGGGGGGGGGGGGGGGCTTGGACCTGCCTAGCGCATACTTTGTTCGTTCGCTGCTGTTGCCGAGGCTCGGGCTTCTGGCAAAAAACGAATTTACGAGAGTCTGAAGCATTTCTCCCTATAAGATTATTCTCCCAGCGCGGATCCGAGTTCGGGACGATAATCGAGAGGAGTCTATATCGATATTTCTCCAACAGTAGGATCAGTCATCGCTGCTTTGGACCTCCTTATATCCTATCAACTTTGCAGTTGCACAATTTTATAAAGTGGAAACCTTTTTTTTTTGCATACATAGAATCCACTCGTCATTCTACGTAAAAAACAGTATTAGGGTAACATTAGGGTAACATAATAAAAACATAATTAGTGGGCAAGGTATTTTGTAAAATGAAAAAATAGGTTTACTTAAAAATAGCAAATAAGAGTAAATTGCAAAGCAAGAACCAAAGACGAACTTAATTCAGTTATGAAAACGATTAAAAAGCATTCTATGAAATGTTCCGAATGTAACGGAAAGGCGTTTGAACATGTACTTTAATGAAAATATTTTTTCGAAATACCTCGTGAACTAATCATTTTTCGATTATGTTACCCTAATACTTGTTTACGTAGAATGGCGAGAGAATTCGATCTGTGTAAAGACAATGAACTTCCATTTTATACGATAGTGTAACTGCAAAATGCATTATTGCACTTACGAAAGAAATGTGATCGTGTAGTCAACCTTGTTCCCTCTAACATGTTTTTCGGACTTCGACCAAAAGAAAAACAATATGGCGTATTACAGTTGCGTGAATCACGCTTTAGTAACACTTTGATTTCAACCCTATTCGGACTAAAATTGTACACTTACTCGCAGTGTCACGAGGTATTACATTTGTTAAGAAACGATTGCGTTCGGTGAGATCGGGCTCAAGTTTCCTTTCGAATCTTCAATTAACCTTCTATAATTCTGAAATTTTTCCGAAACTGTTCTTAGTCTCCGCATTATCAGTGCGTTAACATCGAGCAAGAAATTGGTAATATCACACCTGAATTATTTACCACGACAATTATACTAGACTACACACTCGTATAGAAAAACCGGGTAAATATTTACAATAAGGAAACCACCTCCGATTTCGACGATTTTTTAATATGTTGTCAAGATCATCACCCTGAGTAGTATATATTGCGAAGGTTTTCGTTGGGGCTTGCCGTTTGTGAAAAAGTTACTATCAAAAAAAGGTAGAGGCACCGATAACACTGTTCAACACGTAAAAATTTTTGCAATCTGCAAACCGTTTCTTTCCAGCACGTCCAGTTTTTGAAAATGCTTCATCAGGGGGTCGAAGACACACTGATACTCATCTCCCTCTCACTGTGTCTTCGACCCCCTGATGAATCTAGCTGCAATGCCTGCGAAACGTTGGGAAAACAATTCCACAAGGACACGGCTTACGCCCGAAAGTCTCAACAGTGAGAACTGTATGATGTCGGGCCGTGAAAGCCTCAAATCTCCAAATACGTATTTAGTATCTCTTTTGAATTTAAGGTCCAACAGAATTCTGTATCTTCAGTGGGTGATCAAATTATTATGACCACTTCGAGATTGCCACTTATTTGAATTTTGATCAAGAATGGAATTGAGAATACACTTGTACTGATACCTTCTTTATTACAAAATATATTGTTATGTTTTTAGTGACATATGGCAACGATTTTACATCTTCTATAATGTTTTCAAATGTATATACAACAATATTTCGTCAAGCCACCCTTTGGATTTGTAATTGCTTGAATTCGTCTCAGCATACTTTCAATATTTTTTTGGCACGACATAATTTAACAGTGTCAGAATAAATAACAATCAACGAAAACAAACAGATAAATCGGCAGTAACAAGTCATACTTACAAATTATCAAGCCTATCGGAATACTTACAAAAAAAGGGATTAGGCGGGAGTCAGCGTTTAGTAGCAAGGGCGAGGTGTAGAAGTCTAGAGAGATAGAATAGGTATTGGGAGGAAGAAGACGGTAAGAATTGTGATCTGTGCGGAGATAAGTTCAGAACTTTACAACATCTGATAAGAGATAGCAAAGAAACAAAAAGAGGGATCAGTATAGAGGAAGTGGTAAGTGGAGGAAAGGAAGGTCCAAGAAGGATTGTGCAAATTAGACAAGAGGAAAACTGAGAGGGAGACTAGGAGCACAGAATTAGGATAAATGTGCAATAACGAAAAAGAGCGAAAGAAAAGAAAATGAAGTAGATATATGTATACTTATATTGGTATATGTTTAGGTATAAGTACAGTCCATGGGGATTCGTGGAGTCACTGAAGGTTGTTCCGGTAATAATTCAATGATTCCTACTTACATAGACATGTACAGGGTGGCCCACATAACTCTTAACAGATCAATATCTCGAAAACTATGCCATCGATTTTAAGGTTCTTGGTCTTAAATTGCATGAATCTGAAGGGTCTTTCTAACTACATAAACGTGAAGTGGCCCCCTTTCCCCTTTATGGGGAGGGGGCGGGGGTACCTTTATAATTTTAAATGGAACCCCCTATAAAACGTTACATATTTAGATTCTACAGGAAAAAACAAGTAAATTTTGTCTGAAACATTTTTTTGTCAGATATATCCATGATGAGATACAACAGTTTAAAATTTCGACTTGTAGGTATTTACTTGAAGCGCTCGAAAATTGCGTTATTGAATTATACGCGCTTCAGTCCTTTGCTTATTCGTGAAGAAATAAAATTTTCTTTAAATTAAATTTTCAAAATGTCCACCACGGGCTGGTAAACATTTATTTACTCGAAACAACAATGTTGTTCTAACATTTGTTAACATTTCGGGAGTCACTGAAGCGCAAGCGTCACGTATTCTTTATTTCATATTCTCTTTTGTCGTTATGTTTGAACCGCCGACGATATACATATATACAGTGAGTGTAAAAAGTATTCGTACACCCTTTAAAACGGAACAACTCTTTTAAAAATTGGTCCAAGTGACTTGAGTTTTTTGTGAAGTTAGAGACATTAATTTACTAAATGATGTGAAAAAAAAAAATTTGAAAAAGTTGCAATTGGTCCGAATCGCGAAGAAAATATTAAAGGTCGTGTTTTACAACTTTTTAATCTGAGGCTATAATAAAAATTTAATAAATACATATCGAAGATTTATGTTAGTTATATACATGTTGAAGATTTCATCAAAATCGGTTAACGTTGCTACGAGATACAAACGATTAAAAATGTTGAAAATCGCAGTTTTTCCCGACTTTCGATCTACAACTGTAGTAAATCTAACAATTCTCACATCTTTTGATGTCTGTCGCTCGTTTCTGTATTAACCGATTTCAATGAAAGTTTCAGTATGTACATAACTAACATCAATCTTCGATATGTATTTATTAAATTTTCATTATAGCCTCAGATTAAAAAGTTTTAAAACACGTCCTTTAATATTTTCTTCGCGATTCGGACCAATTGCAACTTTTTCACATTTTTTTTACACATCATTTAGTAAATTAATGTCTCTAACTTCACAAAAACACTCAAGTCATTTCGACCAATTTTAAAGGAGTTGTTCCGTTTTAAGGGGTGTACGAATACTTTTTACACTCACTGTATATACATAAATACACACATGTATACGAGCGCAGTGTAATAGTAGAATACGAAGACGCAAGTAGGGAGTTAACAGTAGTATTAAATGATAGTAATAGAAGTAGGTTAGTAAATTAGTGTCAGTAAGGAGGATGAGTGTAAAGAGTGTATGGGAAGAGTGTAAGGGTAAAGTAGTGATGTAAAATTTAGGTAATGCATACCAAGTCAATTTCTTAACCGTGAGGTTGAAAATAAAGATTATTATTATTATTACTTACGAATATGGACGGTAGCACAAATTGGTAGCTTGTTACAAGTATACATTTTGCTATACATAATACTTATCAAAATGTTGTTAAATACTGCATCTATAATTAAGAAAAAAGGAAAGGGTATACTTGACGTTATAATAAGAACGAAAACATAAAATATGTTATTTCACCATTTGTTCATAATAATGTGATCACCCAATGTATATTGTACAATATGTTTCGAATTATAATATTATATCAAACGATATATTTACAATCGAAATTTCTGACATGTTTCAGGTGAGCTACTTAAATTTCGAACGACAACCATCGAGCATAGCGGCGGTGGGTATAGCAAATGGAATGATGGTGTCGTGTAACAAATTACGATCCGGATTCGAGAACGTTGGATCTGTAACAGGCACTTTTTATCCACCGGTCGCATCACCGCATGATCAATCGTTGCAGCACTATACCACCACCCAATCCTCGAAGACTGCCAATTATTCGATGCAGTCTGCTGTCGAGGGTGGCTACAATACTGTCCAGTGTGCCAATCGACAGCAGTCCATGGGGATTCGTGGAGCCACTGAAGGTTGTTCCGGTAATAATTCAATCATTCGTACTTACATATACAGGGTGGTCCACCTAAAGGTAATCACCTAAATATCTCCTTCAGTTGTGATTATATAAAAAATATGTTGCATGCAATTTGAATGGTGTCAAAGGACAAATACACTGCAGAGAATATTTTTGTGCAAAGGTAATTTTTTTCTTGTGTTTCTAAAGTCACCAATGTTGTTTTGTATATAAGTGTATATTTTTTTCCTTTACGTATTGTAGCTGATATTAAGACGCATTCAGAGATGTTAATGACCTTGAAATGACCTTAGACTTCGAGTTTATCTGTAATTGCATATTTTGGACAATGCATGTCGATGGAGAGACATCGTGTTAAACACTTAACATAACGTGGTAACTTAAAAACTACGCGATAGATGTCTTATAAATTTAACAGCGATCAGGTCTTCTAGAACATGTTTACTTACATATCCGCAGGTCCTTGCCCGTCGCCTGCTGAGGTCGGTGATATCGATGGAAATGATTTTTATATGTAATTTCAATTTTGAGAGTTAAATGTCACTTCAAGGTCATGTCATTAACATCTCTGAATGCGTCTTAATGTCAGCTACAATATGTAAAGGAAAAAAATATACACTTATATGCAAAACAGCATCGGTGACCTTAAACGCAACGAAGAGAATTACCTTTGCACAAACATATTCTTTGCGGTGTATTCGTCTTTTGACACCATCCAAATTGCATACAACATATTTTTTATATAGTCACAACTGAAGGAGATATTTAGGTGGCTACCTTGATGTGGACCACCCTATATAGACTGTTACACTTGGATAAGTACCAGTAATCATGAATACGCAGATCAATACCGGTTACATTTTTTGTTTTTCTTCCAACTTCATTTAAAAGTACTTACTAATGTGTTAATTTCGTCCGTTCGAATCGTTTTTACATACAGTAGCATTCATAAAAGTCGAGAATTTTTATGTATCTAGTTATTTTTGATCAAATAATGACTTTTTCTTTATTGGTAACTCGAATCCTGTTAGGCATTTACCATTCGATGCGGATGAATAAAAAACACACCACGAGTGAGAGAAAGAGAGACAGAGACTACTAGTGAAACTTGAAAACAGTACCTAACAATGCATCCCGGTATTCATTACAACTGCAATATACGTATATTATTTTGGTAAAATTTTAACCAGTGAAATAGTGAAATTTCGGTGATGCAAATACATGGAAATTTGACGCTATTCTGACAGCATTCGATTACACTCATGACAAACGTGTTTTATTGATCTAATTATACTTGATTTTAGAAATATAATTTACATGTTTGTGTCGCATTAGAAATTTTACCGCTACATTATACGACAGTTCTTCAAAGTTCCTGTTAGTTTAAGATCACTTTTGCAATGTGTTTCTTTTAATTAAAAAAAGTATGAAGAGATGGGTGTCCTAATCATATTTTATAAACATTACTATTAAACTTTTTTGTTATCTTCAATGCAGAATAATTCTTAGTTGATAACCAAAAGATTATATCAGTTTTTTCACGAGATGTTACGAATGGCGATATTGCATGCAATCAGTCTACAAGATTCCTAAAGTAAACTATTAACCCTCTAAGTCCGGGGGTGCTTTAAACTTGTCGTAGAATTTTCTTGAGGGTTAAAATAGTCTATTTTATACTTTGGATTTCGAAGTTACTCGTTTAGAATGCTTGAGAATGTGAAAATCATTGATTTCTGGTATGGGACGTAGGAAGCAATCCTACCAGAACTTAGGGTAATTTTGTTCAATATTGATCGAAAATATAGGTAACAACATAAATATTTACTTAAATAATTTTTTTAATATGGAAAGTCATGTTTAAATAGTAGTAATGAAAAATAGCGTTTAAATTTACAATAGTTATCCTGTTTTTTTATAGTAATCGTAAAAACAATTGTTGCTTTATTACAACAGAGATATACATTGCATTTTACGCAAAACGGAAATCGTTTATTTTTAATGCATAGTGTGCGTCTTTGTCTAGCTTTTATTATTTATTTATATTAGCAACAACATCTCATCTGGTTGCTATACTAAAGGTAAATAACATATACATTAATAAAAAAATATATTCATACGCAATTTAAACACTATTTAACAAATAATATAGAATAGTACCAATATTTAAAGAAACAGCTGTGACATATAAGTACTAAATAGTTTTCATAAATATTTATTCTTGAGCCCCGGTGAAACATTCATGTTCCATAACTTGAACCCAAAAGTCTATATACAATGTACATGTGTATGACTACAGTACATGAATAGAGTGCAGTACCCACGCATTATTTTGTCAATTAGGACTCACTTTTATCTTATATGTGCTTCTTTTACTATAAAAAGTACTTTTACTTACTCTAATTTATAAAACTTGGTAGCGTAGTATAAACTCTATATGCACCAAATCTCTATCTTATGGGTAGAAGGTTAATAAAAATTTGTTAGAATGTATGGGACTCTGGAGTCCCACTAGAACTTAGAGGGTTAAAATGACAACGCATTTTAAATAATCATAGCATTCTCATTTTCACTGTCAATTGTAAAAAAAATTGAAAGAACAATAATAAGATAAGTCCGTCGATGCCCGATTTACTTCAGGTGTACCACACCGGTATCAGATGTCCCATCACCAAGAGTACCAGCAGGAGGCTGCCAACACAGGACAACAGCATCAGATTCTAGGGCACATGGATCCTGGTATGACCGCCGAAGAGGAGCAACAACAAACGCTACAGCTGGAGAAGTATTTCAAGTACTCTCACCCGACCAGCGTGGCTCACAGTAGTCTGTCATCGCAGAATCTGCTCGACAGTAATCACAATTACGCCAGTGACTTGCGTTACTATGCCCCGCAACAGTCGCAGATGGACATCTCGAACTCTCAGTGCATCATCGACGATCAAAGCAAAGATAATCGGTGTTCCAACGTCGGTATCGGTCACACGATGGACCAGTATCATCAGAACATCGATGTAGCAAAGTATCCGGAACATCCATCGCAGCAGCAACAGCAACAGCAACAGCAACAGCAGCAACAACAGCAGCAACCTCAGCAATCTCAGAGTATGGAACACGTGTCGAAGGCGGACGACGACTTTAGTGTAATACTTGCGGACGTGCGCAAGACATGTTACAGTAGCTAGTGTTCCCCTAGACATTTTTTTTATGCGGGCTATTTATCTTATAGCTGTAGTACCAAGAACCATAGGTTATGTAGCGTTCACAAAGAATTCGGTGCTTATACACATTTTATATTACTATGTATACATATAGGTTCTTGATACCGATATAGGCGAGGTTATGAAATCGGTCTGGAGTCAAAAGTTTACATGTTCCGAGCGACGAAACAGTAATTAAGGTATAGACATGGAGCTCGAGTCTGGTTCAGGACTGTACCATGGAAAAGTATGCGTCCTAATCCTTCAGCGAACACAGGTTGATTTTCACTAATTACGGCAATTCGTTAACGAGCAAGGTAAGAGAAAGATAGGAGACCTAAGAAAAAATAGGGACTTATTATTCCTAAGAGAAAATAGGTACTTAATACTCCTAAGAGGAAATAGGGACTTAATATTCCTAAGAGACGATACTGACTTAATATCCTTCAGTTTTAATGAAAGACTGTGAGCAGAAATTTTATATATCAATTCACAAATGATTTTTGCAGCCCGACATTTAAAGTACTACTTTTATAAGACGCGTACTGCCCTGGATACAGCTACATCTATCGGTGTTCCCCATCTAAGGCTTTAATTTATAATTTCACTATATCGGTTCCAGGGCCTATATCCTCTTCCGGTGCTGATGTTCTTAATTTCAGTCCTCTGAACTCGGCGGAAGAAATATAGTAAGATACCAAAGACACACTCAAGGGTTGTATAAAGGGATTGCCTTGAAAATATAAAGTGTTCTTCGGTAAACATTATTACGCTCGTAATGAAATGAATGAAACGTTTGTATTTTACTCTTGATTATTCCTGATTGAACATTCCAAATATACTCTAACATTCAATTCATAGTTTCAACTAAATCACTAATACACACCTTTTATTGGTTGGTGCAACTATCATAATAAATCAAATTATTTAAAAAAATTAATCATTTTCGACTATGAAAAAAAATAATCATTTTCTATTTTTGACTGTGATTTTCTACTAGGATTTTTGCGATGTTGCTACTGTCCTCTTTCACTGTCACATCAATCTTAAAAACATAAACGAATAGAATTAATATTTTGTAAATATTTTAGACGGACAAAACAACATATTTTGAATCTCTACTGATCGATAGGGTCGACGAGACCCCCTCTTTCAGTCTTCTACAATTAACCTTTTGAGTGCTGTGCGCACGTGTATGCACTAACCAAACGCTGCCGCTTGATATTTATCAAAATAAATTTAAATGAATTAGACTGTGCGTATGTAATATTCTGTCTAAAACAGAATAGGAGCTGAATTATGCGTTTCACAGGTAATTGATATTTATGTATTCAGTTTGTGGTAAGTGAAGTAAACTCTCCTATATCGATCATCGTAACTCATAATGACCCAGAATCAAAACTTAGCACCTTAAATGGTCAACTATTAATTTCTTTTGTCTTCCAAAAAACTTGCATCAAACTTATTATTCACCATGAAAGATTTTTTCCATCCCGTTCTTCTTCAACCCTTTCGTATCATCAACTTCAATAAAAGGAATACAACAAAATTTCCTAAAAATACCTTTTTTTCCCATGGTTTTCATGAAAATGTTGATCAGGAGGATGTACCATCAAAGAGGATCCTTAAAATTGACAAAAATTTGTTCATTTATCTACTTCTACATAAATAAAAATTATAAGTTTAAAACTTTTGTATTGATTCAGCTAAACAATCGTATAAGCTGTTAAATTTTGATTCTGGACGACTGTACAACGGAACGAATGTCGTCAACAGTAAGCATTCAATTTTGGAGCACTTCGCACTCAAAGTGTTAATCTAGGTATATCCAAATTGTTTTTGATGGAGTTACACTATCCTTTGGAGAACCATTAATGGGGCACAAATGTGACTGTTAGGCTTACTAAAAGTGTGAGTTTACAATCAGCCAAAGTTCAATAATTGCATCTGTATAAAGAATCTGTCTCAACGCATCTACTGCGGGACTCGACTCTACTTCAGTTTTGCTCTCTTTGATGGTTTACGAACCTACTTGTGTTTGCAATACGTGTCTTTAACACTTAAGTGCTATTTCATAGCGTACTTTGTAATATATAAAATGACAAAATCAAGAGTATCATTATTCGTTTATGTGTGGAACATGTACATACATACTTACGATCTCATGGAGATATGTGACTGTCTTCTTTTCTTACTAATCTTACTATACTTTCTCCGCCGAGTATAATTCGAACCAAGACGAATTAGTGACAAAATGAATCTCTTAGAATATATGCGCACGTAAAAGGATCGCGTTTCGTCAAAACTCACTCGAATAAAATAAATCCTCGATAAGCGTTTGAAAGCTTCTCGGACTGAATATTAATTATTTCATAAACTATTGGTCATATGCGCTGGCAACAAATATCATTGGCTTCAGAATTCCAAGCTCAATCACTGTTCTAAACGTCATTAAAAGGATAATGTTACACGTGGGGACCTCCCCTTATCAGTGCCGAAGAGGCTTCGAACTCTCATCGAGGATTTACTGTAAACATAAGGATATGCAAGTATCTGAAATTTTCGATTATCAGAGATACGGTTAGTTTAAGGTATTTCCGTAGTGTAAAATTAATTTTTCTTGACAGTCGTCAGACGTAAGTTTCCTTGTTACACAAAAAGTGTTTCAAGACCATGAATAACTTGACACAACAAATAACTGAAGTAAATACGAAAATGTTTATAAAAATACCGTTTTTGAGATATTCAATTATTAGACCAATTGTTTTTTATTGGAATTATTGAAAGTTACAAGAAATAAAAAATTCTATTGGCTTATCAAAAAGCAAATAGCGCTGGAGTATCACAATGAGTTGGCTTGGAAATACAATTTCTGTAGACAACTTTAATAGAATTTGTAGTAGAATCTACGGAGTTTTTTGGTAAAAGACTTGTTATCTCATAGTAAAAGCAAATCGGGAAATCTTTTTGTATTCACTTTAAAAAATTTAGAAAACAAAATTGGTATAATGAAGTTTTAGAAACACATAGAAACATTTTGGGTTATTTTTCTCGACAGTATTATTTCAAAAGATATGTAGAAGCAATGTAGAAATCCGTAATAATAATTTTATAATTTCTCTACGAGCACGTAAGAATCATAAATTTCAGGTACTCGAATATATCCCTAATAAATAGCGACTCACAAAAAATTCGAACAAAATTTACACGGTGTATTTTATTTTATTTCCACAGGTCACGTCGAAAGTTTCTATTTTTTTTTCTTGATTATTCAATATAAAAACACACCATGCCTATTTTATAGACAGGTTATCATGCAAAATCATTTGTACTCCACTCGTGCCCAAATATCGACATAAATGATGCTCATTAGTGTTATCAGAATGCTATTGAAAAGATTCTTATTAGTGATTCTTATGCATTTTGTGATATTCATGGTATTATAATGATTTTTATTAGTTATTGCTGTGGCACAATACTTTTTCTAGAACTTATTATTTATAATATATATATTCACGCGATCATGTTTCATTCGTAAATAATTCTTTGTAATAGCACTTTATTCTCAACAGTGTTTCGAAGTTCCTTTGCCTTGTTTTTGCGTTAGCGATCATTTCAAATCGTAGAAAATCATTTCTTACAATTACACGAAAGAACACATCTTCGATCTACAAAAGACATTTCTGTCTGAATACCATTTTGTGGAAACTTTCGGCGTTGTCTGCGTATGCCAGAACTATCATAATTCTCAGCAATAGAACGCTGAAGCCAACGACATTATTGTTCAGTTATTTTTGTCTACCTATGCACTCATGGTACCGCATAGCACTGTATATTTAGAACATACCAGTATATTTCACTGCGAAAAATAGATGATCGCTGAAACGATCTCCGTAGCAAATTTGTCCTATGAATTATTTTTTTTTCATAATCGGTTCTATGGCAGGTTACTTAAAACATGTTTATATATATATATATAATATATATATATATATTCATTAAGATCTTAAAAAATCCATCTTCAGCCCTTAAATCGTGACATTCAGTCATCTTATTTATAATATTTACGGAAAATATACATACAAGACAAAAAATAAGAAAATGTACATATTTTTGCAATATCTTAACGTTTAACTGACGAGAATCAAAGTATTTTCACTTCTATTTAACGGATTCAAAAATATACATGCAGAATCCAACTTTTCCTCATTATACAGAAGTTTCGTAGTAGTCACAAATAAAACAAAAAAATCTATATTATTCATCAAATGTGCACATATATCAAAATTCTTTAATAAGGGTGACTTATTTCTCAAACAAAGAAAATATAATTAATTAAAACCGATATGTACATAGAATAAAACGTAAAAAAAATACTTTGACAATTGCATTTTCCAATGTGACAACACCAATAACATTTTTCCGAAACAATTTCTTATTTTGTATTGTAATCTGTAAAAAAAAACAAGAATTCTTAATATGTGAGTCCATATTACCTTTGTACACACAGTAATTTAAACAAAAATCGTACACTTCGCGCAATATTTATTCTATGTAGTCGCACAAAATTGTCTACTGAGTCACTGAAAAAATGGCCCTACCACATTATGTTTTTAGTTGTTCTCTTTCTATATTCTTTTCGAAAGCATAGCAGAAACACAATTGAGTTTTTCAGTTTCTTTAATATAATACGACCGTAGTTTTATGTTATAATCCATTTACAATTTCGTCAGTTACATGTCACCGCACTCACATGAGAAGTACTTATTGAAAAATTGTTGCTTACATCAATTAAGATATTATCAAAGTACCTTGTTTTTCGAATAATCGTACATTAAGCTCTCTCTTCACTCACGATCACATGTGTATAAGCGCGATCTCTTACTCTCCTCTTGTTCAGCCGACTGAATTGAAATTCGCTGTAAATGTAGCATAAATAGGAAAGACGAATTTTTTTTTACTCACGTAACCTTCTACTTTCAATGTTCTACTACTTTTATGTAGCATATAATTATATATGTAGCGTGGCAATAAACGTGGATATTTTATCGTTCGATATTGAATTTGAATACTTTATAAGCAATGGAATTTAGATAAGTGTAAAGAACTGGGAAAATACTAAATTATTATAACTATTGTATCGTACTTAATAGAAACAATTATCAACACTCCTTATGCAGTATCGTGTATTTCTTAACCATTCTGAATGAACGACGATTTAACTTATTACTTGGATCGTGTGACAAACAATGACACTGTTTATGACAGTCCACATGACAATTAACACTTTAACTTTCGTGCGATGTTCAATAAATTGTTGTATTACTATTATTTCCATTAAACTTGGTCTAAGGTAAAATCTAATTAAAGAAATATACTTAAATGTCACTTCATCGTTATACAGGGTATCCCAAAAAGATTGGACATTCCTCAACATGCATATTCCCCATGCTAATACAAATCGAAAAATCCTTTACCGTTTTATAATCTGAAGTTCCATTTCCGAAATATTAGCAGTTAAACGAACCCCAATCAGCTGAGCAGTGGGCCACACGTATGCGCAGACACAGTTAAGAAGCGCACGACCAAAGTCACTGACCTGTGTGTTTTTTATACATATATATATATATAAAATATGTGTATAAGTTACAATGTCATGTGTAAAGCTGAAATCATACATAGTGTGTTAGATCGATCTCATTCTGTGTGTGTCGATAGAAAACATTTAAATGCTACATTATACCCCCTTACTTGCATTATTATTGTACAATCACATTTATCCCTGAAAACAAAAAACATGAAATTTCCGCACCCATACTTAAATTTTATCGTGGCGAATCAGTACGTTTGTTACTTCAGAAAGAATTAACAGTGAATGAGTGAGTCCTTTGAACAAGGAACAGTTGTTTGAAATATTTCATTTACTGTGGACCATGTTGATATTAGTATTTATACCCTCATTGTTCACATGTGTTCTAACTTGCACATTAGTGACACACAATTTATGGAAGTGCTAATAACAACATCTCGAATATTTTGCAATTTATCTATGACTTTTGTAAGTGACTATATGACCTACCCGTATATCTATATACACATGTACAAATTTTTATTGCTGTTTGCAAACTTAATTCGTTACCAGTCCGCGTACAAATTGCTCTAACAAGTCGCTATATATTGGCTTATTTTTATACATGTTTAACAAAGTTTGTGAGAAACGACCTGTTGCTTTTGTTCTCCCAACAAATACACAGCTGTTAGGTGATACCTAAGTATTTATCACTGACTTGATAACATCATCGAGTGCTGTTTACGCTTAAATGGTACAAATTGCGTAGGTACTTGATTAAAAGAGTAAGTATGTGCAAATTCTTTCTTAAACGTTAGAAGTTTCTTCAGATACGATTTGTGTTTGTGAGGAAGCGCTAAGACTGTATCGTGTGTATATTATCATTAAATTGGACAGATATAGCAGTCTTCTTTATAGCAATTTGCTATGAAATGTATATTCTCCTTCCTCCCTCGTAAATACAAAGTATTTGTCTTTGTACAAATAGCAAACACAAACTCTATACAAATTAATTATTTCATTCACATAGGTATAATATTACGATGCTTATTATACATACTGTACATAATTTAATTTTTTACAGGATCTATGTATATAAACCTAATTTAGGTATATGGTTCCTGTATTTAAATGTAAAGTGAATCATGAAAGTATTCAAGTATTTATAATTCAAAAATTTTAACTAATACAATATGTAAATTAAAATAAATATTTCGATACATCCTGATATTTACAGTTAGAGTAGAATTCTATTAACAAAGTTTCAAAAAAATTTGGTAATGTGTGTAGTAGTTATGGAACACTTGTTATAAACGGAAAGAAAAATCTTCTAAAAATTGGACTATAAACTGATTATCTAAATAATGTAATGACAGTTCATTGTTTAAATAATTTCGTAGCATTTGTACAGCTTATATATGCGTTTACACCTTGTTAATATTATTCTAATGTTTCTAATTTTATCTATAATTTCGGATATTTGAATACGTTTACATCCAACTGTACATTACGATGTGTATTTTACGCTATATACAATTGTAATTTATTTTACATATATAAATGGCAGCTTTACAAGTCATGTATAAAATTCTTTACAGACACGCATAACGCATTCCAATATTACACATGGGTAAATTAGACGCTGAAGTCTTTATCGGACCCTAAATGGATTATTCGTAACCCATGCTGTTTTCACTGTTAGTCAATGCTAGTTGTAACTAAGAGTCGTAAACAAAAAGAGAAGGCGCGAAGGGTAAATGTTTTTACACGACTGTACGTTACTTATAGGAAATCATTATTTTGTAACACAATATATGAATTTATAGTTTTTTTCTAAACAAGTGTATGTGTACTACCTTTCAGAATATACATACGTATATATGCTTGTTGTTATTATTTTTATTATACATTGTGCATATGGTGAATTATCTTCGGAATGGTTACGTTCTTGATAAATATACTAAAAGATCGTTTTGGGAACGTAACAATTCTGTTAAAGAATTGTTGAAAAGTGAAACTGAAAATTACGTATTGTAAGATATGATATTTAAGTCTCTTAGAATGTGGTTTTCTTTTTTAAAAAATGCTCCGTATTCAATACACCCTTTTCCAATAGGACATATGAAATGTTATTCTGTACATATACAAATGTTGCTGTTACAAATGTATCCAATCAGTTGATTCTATAAAAGTGATAATGTATCTCAAAGTGTAGCAAATGCTCATTTTAAATTATCAGGCCTATGCTAATTTGATTTGACCAAAGTATACAAAAGGAAAAACGGAAATATGATAAAAAAAAACTTATGCAGAAAATCTTGCCATATCAATGTTAAAAATTTGTTTAAAATATCTTTGTGACAAGTGACTTTGTGTGTTCCTCTACAAATGAGCACTGTGAAGAGCACATAATTATTAAAACAATTTATACATTTGTACACAATTAGTTTAGATGTTTCATAAAATTAATAATAATTCCTCAAATATATATAAGTAATAAAAATACATCTTTTAGGAATTTTTTACTTTTATAGACATTAGAACAATGATTCATGTTAGAAAAGTGCAACTTCAAAAAAAAGAAGTAAAAAAATAATTATAACAATGTGATTTATGTTGTTTTTGTTGATATAAAAATGGTGAGTTGTATGTCAAAGGATAACTAAATGTCTCCATATTTCAGACAATCTTGTCAATCTTCTTAAATAGAAACTTACACATCTACAGTGTTCTTATATGTCATTCATCCCACAAACAATTCTGTTTCATTTTAGAATAATATGAGAATATAAAACATTTTTTACAAGTTTTAATACCACATTTATATGGAGTGGCTATCTTTTTACCATCACCCTTCCCCTTGCAAAATTTCAAACCACATGGATACCACCCAATACATAACTCTAATGAACATGTACAAGGTGCCCACATGTTCGATGTATCTGCACATCTTGTTACAAATAATGATTTCGATTCATTTGTACCTTGTTGCATTAAAGAATTTGTGCTAAAGTTGTATACAGCTGCCATAAGTGAAAGTTCTGATGACCCTAATGAATCAAAAAATGACACTTTACTTAAAATACATTTCAAAACTTTTTAAATAATTACTTCTTTGGCATCAAATTCTTAATGGACTTTTAAATTTACATTGGATATAAAAAACTACATTTAGAAATTTAACATATATTGTATTAAGTATATTAATTTTATTCATTGATTTCACTTACTAGGCCTTTGAATCCATTGTTTAATATCTTCATTTCTGGTATAAGCAGATCCTGCTGCTTCTCCACAAAGGGTTGCAATATGTTTAGAAATATCTTTTGATTCAGATACATCCAAAAATAAGTTCATGGTATAATTGACATGGCCTTTATCTTCTTCTGCTACTCGAACAGTACCTGGATTTTTTTGTCGTAGTTTCGACATGGCATCGGAGGATATAAAATCCACTTTGAAGAAATGATTTACAAAGCATGAAACTTGATATTGATTTTGACCACGTTCTTCTTCACCAAGAACCAAGGCTTTTATAATCTGCACTTCCTATGAAAAAATTTTGAAAATTATTACACAATTGGCAATAAACAGTAAATATATAATAATCACTGTTGAAAAATTAATTACATTTTTGAAGTCAATGAGTTGTGTCACCAAAGTCCCATCAGAGCATTGAAATTCTAAAGTAATCACATCTTCAGTGACATTCGATGAAATTGTCTCTAATAGAATATCACCACCCTGTGGAACAAAAACACTATTAAATAGTCCGCTATTAATTTCACACTCTTTTGAGGTTAATGCAATCAGCTGTCGCAGTGTTGATCAATATTACTTTAATATTTGTTAAATAATTTTTATCACAATTACAATCCATTTGATCGAAGATATGCTTAATATCCACAGAATGAAATTAATTCGTACCTGATTTTTTACATTTATGAGCAAGTGAGTCGTACAAATGCCGTACAAATATTGCAACAAGAAGTAGATTGTGAGTAATTCGTTGAGTTTCTTCATTGTCGCATATTGCAATTGCATCTAACGTAGTATCGACTGTCGTTGCAATTAACCGTGATGAATCGACATTGAAAGATAAATAGGTACTTTAAATATAACCTATTCGTAAGAATCTCCTACCTCATCACGGTCAAATGCGATCAAAGCACACTGAACAACACTGAAAGCACACGTTCGCTCTATAAGAGCATAGGGCATAGAGTATAAACAATTGAGAATACTGTACGAATTATTTGAAACTGTAACATAATCTTTACCAATATTAAATATTATTTATTTATTTACTGTCAAACGAAGATATGTATTCTTATTTTATCGAAAAAGAATGTACATACATAGTAAAATATACTGTCTTTTTATGCAATAAATAAATGCAGGGAAGATTAAAACTCAATCATTCAGACCTGCTCTAAACATATATTACTAGATTCTGCTGTAGACATGATGTGCAGATTTGCTGCAAATGTGCTAGAGGGTCTACTACAGCAGTACTGCCAGTAAACTAGCAGCAGCAACATAACAGCCTGGTGTCTTGATGTGACGTCAGAAATTGAAGAGAGCTGCTAATATTCTGACGGCAGCTCAGCTCACAAATGCAGTAGAACTGCGCAACATACTTTATTACAGATTAAATCGATTATACTTCATCTAAATGCATCTACAATCGATATTTAAGTACTTAAATGATTATTTAATATTAAATCATAAAATTAAATGTATATTTTAATAAATATTAATAATATATGCTAATGAAATATTAATTTTTTTGTATTGTTAGCGTTTATATTTCTCTTATTTTATCGCTTATAATAAGAAATAAGTATATGTAAATATTGCACTGCTAAATAATACATATTTACATTTTATGTAATAATACATGTATACTCGTAATGTTCAAAAACATGGCTGAAGCTCCCACTCTACTTTCACCGTGCTCATACCACCGACTAGGTATAGGATAGACCTATCATCTTATGGGACTTCGTGTCTCATGTTCTGAAATACCGATAGTGTAAGAAGTCAGGGATTTTCTGCTGCCCTCTACGTTATGAGAACGGTGAATTTGTGAACTACGTTAAATCCATTCGAGCTCAAATAGTCTAACTTCTACAGTGTTGTCGAGTCTAAAGTACAATGTTGTCAGATCATGAGTGTTCGGTACGTCGGAAAATCATCGAAGGGACCATGGTCGTGAACGGATTTTCTTTCGTCCGTTCACTGTAAAGTAGATGTATTAGAAAGGAGTCTTGGGTCCTTGTCCCGACGGACCTATTGGTTTTTTTTCGCGTACAAAAAAGTTATTCCGCTTAATATTGTTTTTATGAATATGTATATATATTATTATGTACATTTGAGTAAATTATTTTATTATTCCATCGTTATTACAACAGTTTAACAGTGACAACGAACGCATGTATATTTTCAAATATCGGACTAACAGTATATTTTTATTCTATATTATTACATATAAGTGAGTAATACGTATCAAAAACGTAATCGAAACACAGATTTTTATTAGATCACAAACATCGCATAAAAGATATATCGTTATATTGACATTTGTAATAATTATGGATGTTGCGGGGAAATCTATTGACATTATGGAACATGTAACGAAATATCACTGTAACACTTAAAAAAGTTTTAAAGTTCCATTTATATCATTGTCCTGTGAAAATGTTCATACTTCCAGCAACATTCATATTCCAATCAAAGAATTTACAGAATAAGGAAAAGGAATCTAAAGTAATTTTCAGTAGTTCCATACATCTTTATCTCGAATACTTTTCTAAAACATTCAAAGTACTAGACATTTTTACACTTTGAATCTCATATCGATTTCTAAAATAATCCTAGTTCGATATAATATAGAACGTGGTTTTATGAGATAGATTCGAAGTTCGCAGCCATTAGCTCGATATTGTCATCCGTTTACAGTACTTTACCGATGATAATACCGATTGCCCAGGCCTCACCACGAGGAGGTTGCTGCGAGTGGAGGCCCAAGGCAGGTAGATGGAATCACAAGTTCTACATCTTCCCACCTTTCACAATATACCTTATAAATAACTTAAATCTTAACTATGTAATACTATCGGTACTGAAATCCCTCGGCGGATGACTTCTTTCTTGAGCCTAAACCTATAAAAAAATAAGTTCCCTCGTCGGTTGTCTTCATTCTTCAGCTTAGAACTAATATTATCTTAATATTCTAATTAATACGAATTAATGCTAGTAATACGAAATAACAAATTTAACGCAATGTAGTCGCTAATACTCAAACGAAAGAGATAGACGGAATGGAAAAAGTTCCATCGATCATTTCGTTTACGCACCTAATATACCAAGCCAAAAATTAATTCTACGATGAACCACGTTAAACTACAGTATGAACAAGTATCGCGATGAAAGTGTTGTCGCCAGAACCTGGTTTAAGAAAATAGGAAAGACGGGCGCAACCTCGCAAACCCGAATCCATCTCTCACTTTCCAGGCCCTTTGGGCTGGTCACCTACGTACCAGACCCGAGCACAGGTCATGACCAAGTATGGTAGTGCAAGCGAGATCCCCTGTAAAACAGAGTCCTTTTACGGAGCAGACTCCCGACTACTCCGTAGGCGGGTACGTTGTACCCAGGCGCGCACGAGCCTTTACTCCAAATCCTACTTACCAGGCAAAGACTAAACACGTCCGATATCTGGCTTCTCAATAGAAACCAGAGGGATCGGCAAACAGTCTTAGTGCACAGGCCCACTGCCCGTACCATAATAGGTACAGACCCACTGCCCATACCCCAAGTCTGTGTAGAGAAATCAACGAGCAAAATGAATTAATAATAACTTGGTATGCACAATGGCTGATCACAATTTAAGTCTATTAATAGATAGACTAAAATTAATAATAAACGATGTGATGATGAATATGAATATAACAATGAATATCGAATTATGATTTAAGTTTAACTTACAGTAACTTAACGCAGTGGTAGACGCACGCTTTGAAGATGTAGACGTTGATCGATGTCTTCTTTCGATGGAATAACTGATTGGAAAAATATTTTTCATTATACAATACACATAAAATACATAATATGCACAGTAAATAAATCACAGTAAATGAATCACAGTACATAAGAAAATAAATATCAAAGTCAATGTTTCTCGAACATCTGTAACATATAAGGGATTAGTAACAAGACAGGGGACACAACAATATGCACAGTAAATAGATTAATAATATGCACAGTAAATAAATCACAGTATAGAAATCACAGTAAATAAATCACAGTAAATGAATCACAGTACATAAGAAGATAAATATCGAAGCCAATGGTTCTCGAACATCTGTAACATACAAGGGATTAGTAACAAGAGAGGGGACACAACAATATGCACAGTAAATAAATTAATAATATGCACAGTAAATAAATTGATGGTTGTCGAATGCCTGCAACAAACAATGGGTTAGTAACAAGAGAAAGGACGAGTATGAGACGCGCGACCACCCTCCGCGACGGTTCACGACAAAGTGAGGAAGCAAGCACAGACCTGCACGGGATGGTACGACCTTGGTACACGGCGTACACGGCTAAGTCAATAAACTGGGTGACGCAACTCACTAGCGCGTTGGATCGACGGAGAGCACCGATACTCGGCACGCTCTACCGTACTCTCTCGCTCGCACACCTCCCTCCCATAGACCACCGAAATTCCTCGGCACCCGTCAACACCGACGGAGAGCACCGATACCGCGGCTCGCTCTACCGCTCTCGCTCGCACGCCGTGACGTCACCCGATTCCCGGAATCCCGCGGCCACGAGATGGCTCATTACGGTAAGGCATTCCCGCAAGGGCCAAAAGGTAGATTTGATAAACTACTTATGAAACTACATCTATTCTGAATTTATCTGTTACAAATATACAAGTGTAAGGCAAGATATAAAAACGAATGAAGTCCATTAACGATGCATTTAGAATAAATTGTCTTGTAGTTAAGTGAAAAAATATATACTTTTCCGTTTCATGTTTCATGACTGTCATATTTATCCCTTAACCTTAAACTGAAGCATCGGATATTTTTATTCTCGTGAAATCATATAGATACACGTAATATGAATAGAATATATAACACTTCATTTGTGCTAATAATACTCAGAATTCATGCTTTATCGGTAACGTCGGGTATTGACACTAAAATGGTAACAGGGCTACGTAGCCCTGCGAACGTGAGACAGAAAAAAGCATTGGATGATAAGTCTATTCTATACCTAGTCGGTGCTCATACCAAGCGTATCTCTACCCCTGTCTCTGTGGGCGCTGCCATCAGCTGCCATGCCCTGCGCTGCCCCTTCGGATTTTTCCGCAAACAATCCACGTTTTCAATAAAAATATATCTATCAAAAGGAGGAAATCACGGACATTAGGTAAATTCACATGTGTATTTCTTTCATTTGAAAATATTGTTATTGAGTAGAAATAAGCTTAATGACATTTTCTTATAAATATTAGTGTTCGCGGTACACTATATGTATACATATATGAACGACTAATAGACACAATGGAGTGCAATGGAGTCTGAATTGAAGTAAGCATCGAATATATTGTTTATTAACATTACGCTACACCTTCTTTTGTTGCGTTTGCAGGCAAATAATGTTCAAATATCTGTGGGAACCGATGAGAAGGAAGAAAGAGTTGGTAACTGGGCAATGTGTCAAGAATCACAGATGACAACATTTGGGAGCTTATCGACTGTTTTATATATAATACAGTCTCGATAATTTCCTCTGAACTACGATTCCTACATTTGTATTATATTATTTAGTCAAAATTGTAAATATGGTTGAAATCGTATCGTAAATGTACATATTGAAGGAAAAATAAAGATTCTGGAGAAACATAAAAAGTATTTAATTCCACTTGTGTAATTTAAATTGAAGCAATTACAGAAGCCGCTAGGTTATAACGTAAGATTTGCTCTGTTTCTACAGCGAATCTGATGTCACGTTCTACAGCAGAGTTACTCTGTTTCTACAGCGAATCTGACGTCACGTTCTACAATAAAGTTACTCTGTTTCATACGATTCAGCAGAAT